CCCATTTTCAAAAGGTGAGTTATTTCCCCTGAAGGGAACTCTTTTACTGTGTTTAATACGCATGCGCTATAAATAAAGTCACTTCCATTAATTTTGATGTAAACATGTTCATGGTGTATGCCTCTGTCATATAGAAAAATGTTATTGTGTTTGTGAATAAAAAGAAATCTTAACTGATTCGTATTTTTTTTAAATTGCCCACTCATAGTCTCTTTCTGGATTTGTATTAATCTGTGTAGTACTATAATAAGGTGCTGTGTGACCCTGCCCCCCCCCCCTTACAAAAAAAGAAACAAATTACTATTAAAATGCTGATACATATTCGAATAGGCCTATTAAAAAAAACACAAACAAAAAAGCTAATTTTCGGTAGTGGATGTTCTGCAGACGGATCATCATTATTTACAAAATGTGCGGAACAAATTTTTAGTTATAAAGTTTTTACAAATTGTTAATCTAACACACTGCAGCCATATTTTCATTGTATCTCAGGAATTTTTTCAGACTGATGACATGTCCATCTACAGTTTTACCTCTGAAATTGCTGCATATACAGCAGTAGTTCGTCTTCCAGGCTACCGATATCCAAACTGCGTTATTTGCTCGATTGTATGTCATAACACAGAACTTTTACTTACAAGAACACATTTGGTGACGATTAAAGGCCTATTTCATTTGAATTAACCGTGTTTCTAGAATTTTCTATTTGTAAAATAATTGATTCACTATTTAGTATTAAAACTTTGAATAGAATTCTAAATGAATAATTTAATCTCATGTGCTCATGTAACATGTGTAACGAAGAAAGACTAATTAAAATAACATCGACCTGAATTCGTGTTACATATGTCGTATAAAGTCTGAGCTGAATTTAATCAAAGTTTTTTGTAGGATCTAAGCATATATACATGTATATTGTGTTTAATTTACACATTTTGTTTTTCAGTATATAGAGAGTACGAAATTTTGATTATATTATGTGGTGTGTTCGTTAATTAACTGAAAACAATCTTTTCTCAAGTGTTATTTATTTTTTTAACATCCTTTCATGTGTATAAATAACATGTATTTATTTTTATAAGTTATTCTTTTTTTGCAAAGTGTGTAAATAAACAATCCAGAGAGAGAGAGAGAGAGAGAGAGAGAGAGAAATTTGTATCTTAACCTTGGGGATGTTTCTATTTTATAAAGATATATCGACCTGGCCTTTCTGAGAAGATTTTTAAATATAATTTCTATTTCCCTACGTAAAACTTTAATCTTTTGTTTTGACCCCTTCTTATCATGATTTGAGACAAACTTGAATCTAAAGTATGTCAATATATGAAGATTTTATATTACTGTAAACCGACTTTTATTCGCATGCAAGAAATATTTGTGAGTTCCATGACCTACTTTTGTTCGCGAATATTAATCGCCATGAACCAATAATATTGTTAAGTATTTGTAGAGAATTTTTCCTTGGTCACGAAATATTAATTGTTGCGGATTGATTTCAAATGGTCGAAACATGAATAAAAGATTACACGAATAATAGTTTGTTTACAGTATGCCATGAAATTGACTTTAACTTGAAACTCTATTAGAAAAAAGCAAGGCATTTCCTGTGCTTAGACACAGATTTTATTTTAATATTTTCTCAAATTTTCTGTATAATTTCATGACTTATATGTTGCTATAGCATTTCATACGAAAAATCTTATTTCTTGTGGAAGTTATTGAAAAATTCCAATTTCAAGACGCATTTGATTGACACATCCTTACAATTTCACAAATTTTAACTTTATCATTAATACTTAAGAAAGAAGCTATCTGGTTGTGTAAAAATGAAAAAAATGAAGAGGCCCATGGGCCACATTGCTCACCTGAGCACATGGGCTAGTCAAAAAACACAAATCAACTAAGTACTGTATACAGGGTTATTTTCGCCCCGTCTTATTTTCGCCCTTTCACACTTGCAAACAACTTTGCCCCGTTTTAAATTAAATATTACAAGTTTTGTTCAACACACAAAATATAATGTATTTTAACCATGATTTAAGTTCACATTTAGTAAATTCGCCCAAATGAGAGTACTTTAACTACTTAAATTATTAATCAACGGGCTCCCCACAAATTTCCCTGTATACAGTAAAAAATTTGCTTTGTTGGGAGAAAAGGAGGTGATTTTTCTATTACTTGAGAATGTCACTATATCAATAAAGCATACAATCATGTATAATTTTGCTATACTTGAAAAGAAGATTTTTTTAACATATTACTCGATCTCCCATTGTGACCCCTCGCTAACCAACCAACCAATCCCCAGGACATTATCTGAATAAATTCAAATCTTCACTACTTGCAGATGCTTATATGTCAATTTAACTAAACAAATCTTTTCTGTTCGGGAGAAGATTTTTTCCTATATATTTTTATGCAAAACTTTTATCCCTAATCCCTGGGGTCATGATTTGAACAAACTTGAATGTAAACTACTGTAGATCACTAAATTTTTGCGACACCTTATTTTCGCGAGATTGTTATTGACTCTTTGTAAGCCAGACTTGTCGAAATCCGTCGGTCCTGTCAGCAAGGCCGGTAAAAAATTGTCTGGACCGATAAAACTTTAATCTTTTGTCGACCCCTTCTTATGATGATTTGAAAAAAATTGGGCTCGATGTCAATATTTTAAGATTTTATATTCGTAAACCGACTTTTATCGCGCAAGAAATATTTGTGAAGGTCACACAAACAACAAAAATGGCCACATGGGCAATAATTTGTTAAGTAGGGAGCTCTCCCTGGGAAGAAGAGAAAGGTGGAACCATTTAACAGCTAAAAAAAATTATGAAGACACAGAGGTGTTTGTTTACAGAGACGTGGAAAACGGATCTTTATGGTTGAATTATACGAAAAAAGGGGATGACTTGTTCATGGTGCATCGAAGTGGGTGTAAACATTGTAAATTTTCTGGAAACAAACATTCCTTCATTACGGGCTCCAAAAATTACCGTTCTTCAAGTTATTGAAAATTCACAATTTCAAGACGCGTTTGATGAACTCACTTAAATGCACAAAGGTAACTTTAATTAATACTTAAGAAAGAAGCTATCTGGTTGTGTAAAAAGAAAAAAAGAAGAATGCTAGTGTTGCACACAGAGAAAAAGAATCGAGAACATGTTTAGGAATATTCATGCGTCTGGTGAAAAATCACCGCCCTTTCACACTATGCAATTTTAAACTGGTTGCCCCGATTTAGATAAGGCCAAAGGTTTTGTGTTGGAGAAATTATACAATAATCATCAAGCTGCTGCATCATTTATAGAATATATTTCAGATGTAGGGAAAAATAAAACTCGAAAATTTCCCTGTATACAGTATTTAAAAACTTACTTGTTGGGAGAAAAGGAGGTGATTTTTCTATTACTTGAGAATGTCACTATATCAATAAAGCATACAATCATGTATAATTTTGCTATACTTGAAAAGAAGATTTTTTCAAACCCAATTCTTTTGCATTGGTGAGCCAGAACCAACCACAATCCCCAGACATTTGTATAAATTTGTTATGGAGAAAATTGAACAAAATGCTTATATGTCAATAACTAAAAAATTTTCTGTTCGGGTGTGAAGATTTTTCTATATATTTTTATGCAAAAAATGGACCTACGTCATATTAAAGAAACAAACTTGAATGACTGCTGATCACTAAATTTTTGGCCCACGAGATTGAATTGACTCTTTGTAAGACACTTTCGAAATCCATCTTCCTGTGAAAGGCCGGTACTTTATTACTAGGTTTGTTTTACTTCTACAAAAACAGTCCAAAGCAAAAAAAATTTGAGAAAGTGTATGGAAGTAAGATTGAGATCGGGATGCGCGGGTGAAGGTCAAGGGACAACAAAAAAAGGGCGAGAGTTTGTAAAGGGAGCTCTCTGAGAAGAAGAGAAAGTGGAACCATAACATCTAAAAAAAATTATGAAGACACTAGAGGTGTTCGTGAATTTCAAGAGACGTGGAAACCGGAAGTATATGTAATTATAATGTCATTGCACGTTTTCATGGTGCATTTTGGGTGTAAACATTGATATCAACACCAATGATTCCTTCATTTCCAAAAATAAACGAATTCTTCAAGATTCAATATTGATTTGTCATCAATTCACTTAAATGCAATTAAAGATTTAATTCACGTGGCAGAGAAGAATGCTACAAGTGTTGCACACAAAATTTTTCTAATGAACGAGGCACAGAGAAAAAGAATCGAGAACATGTGTTAGGAATATTCATGCGTTGGGATTATCACCGCCCACTATCAGATTATATAATGGTTGCATGATCTGATAAGGCCATAGGCTTGATGGGAACTTATAATCATCAAGCTGCTGCATCATTTATAAATATATTTCAGAAAAAAGAAAAACTCGTTAGTTTCTTCAAAAAAAGTTGTGAATTTGTTAGCTTAACAATTGGACGTGAATAATAGCCAATTAATTATAACAACACAATATTCACAGTGTAGTGTCACATGTAAACACCCAATTCACCTGCATTGGTCAGCCACATGGCTCAGAGCATTTGTATAAATTTGTTATGGAGAAAATAGAACAAAATGGGTTGTTGCCTCACACGCCAAAAAACGTCGAGAGATAGAGAGTAAAATTCAATGAAATATGTGTAACGGGAAAAAAATGGTTTTGACGTTCGAAAGAAGAGAACTGAGAGAGCTGTTCAAGTTTGGAGAGATGAATTAGCTTTAAACTTTCAAAGCTGATAAGTTATATTGTGAAATTGACAACTTTATTACTAGGTTTGTTTTACTTCTACAAAAACAGTCCAAAGCAAAGGAAAAATTTGAGAAAGTGTATGGAAGTAAGTACTCAAAAATATTTGTATTGTTCCTTAATTTCCGATATGAATTTCAATATGATCATGAAAATTATCAAATTAATGAATTACATTTTAAATGATAACTTTAATTATAAAAAGGTTTATTATTTCAGGACATAAATATCAGTGGTACACTGCCTCATAGAGTAAGTGGAAGTAGGTGGATGCCTCATATGAAGAAGGCGCTTCAGACATTCTTCAAGACATATCCTGCTTTTATAAGTCATCTACATAATGAATCTCACTCAAACCCAAAGGCAGAAGGGCTGGCCAAGATGCTGGAAGATTGCACCCTCATGACCTATGCTGCTTTTCTCCAGGTTATCATTTTATAAATTATTTCAGTGGAGTCAATATTATTTTTTAATCCTCAAAGGCAAACTTTTAATTAAGAGTGAAGTTCAAAAATTCATTACATGAAATTATTTTTTGCAGGAAATACTTAGTTCTTTGGTACAGCAGTCTCTAACCTTACAGCAGTTCAACATTACATTGGCTGATGCTAAAGTAACAATATCTTCAACGATGGAAATACTGCAACAGTTCAGCACAAGGTTCCATACCTTTCAATTAACATTTTATTTTGAGTTTTTACTTTTATAACTTGTTTTTCTTCTTTAGTCTCACACATCTTGAATTTTGTAATTGATATATATTTAAAATGTTTCTAGTTCATGTATATTGATGCATGATATTGAAACCAGAAAAGAAATATCAGGATATCCTTTGAAAAGACAAGGTCCACCAACTGACATGGAGAAGAAAGTCAGTGTCATTAAGTCTTCTTTAATCAAACATACGGAGGCAAGATACAGGGACCTAGGAAATGATGTTAAAGAATCAACTATTATTGCAAATGTAAAAAGCTGGCCATGAGAAAATGTTGCTGGTATGTAATTTTTTCATACAAAAAAATTAAACAGTTATTTGTTTTAATTAAAATACGATTTGATTACTTTCTTTGTTGTTGATTATCTTTGTTGTTATTCTGTTTTTACTGTTATTTAGTCCTTTCTTTATTACAGTTATTTTCTTCCTGCAGAAAAATTGGTAAATATAAATGTAGTGTGTATTTTGTATCATATTCCAACTATAGCCTGTATTTCTTCTATCCTTTGTAGTCTTTCTAGTATATACTTCAGTTCATATCCTAACTATTAATAACCAACCCTTGTTTATGACATTCTCATGTGCTTAGGCTTGGTGTGAGACTTGTTTATACGAATTTAAGCTAAAATATCTTATTTTTACATAAATGCTTTCTTTTTAAAGCAAAATACAAACAGTATTACTTTTTTTCTTCTCCAGATTTTGGTGCTAAAGAGGTCCAGTGTATTGCAGAGAAATTCAGGACAACATTGGAAAATCAAGGCACAGATCTTACAGATTTGTTGGGAGAATGGCAGATGTTAAAATGTCTTTCTTACAAAAGGTATATCTTCATACAACCACATAATACAAAAAATAAACAAATTAATTTTTAATATTTTAAATGAAAATAACTGCCTAGATAACATTTTTCTAATTTCTTCTTTTAAATTAGATTTGGTGAGAAGATTGGCAATACATCTTTGGAAGATATCCATTCAAATTTTTCAGATAATAAAATACCAAACATTTTGAATGTGTTGGACCTAATTCAAAGTCTTCCTGCATCAAGTGTTGTAAGTGAAACTGCTTTTAATCAAATGAAGCTACTAAAAACATCAAGACGTCACAGACTGAGTGAGAAACATCTCAATGACTGCATGATGATTAGGCTGCAATCACCTTCAGAAATGGAGTTTAATCCAAAAGAAGCCGTTGATAAGTGGATGGTAATTATATACTGTAAACAAGAAACATATTGACGCAAGCGTCAAAAATCGGCCGCAAACCAATTAATTCTTTCTTACAATAAATTAGAAACTGAATTCTTCTATTTATCTGTTAATTAATATATATCCCTGTGACATTAAACATTTGAATGCGACATCCCAGGATTTTCTTCAGTACATAATACATGTACATTGCTACAAATAAAATGTATTTAAGCAACTTACTCATAGCCCTCTGTGTCCCCGCACTCAGTAAGTTTATAAACGAACTCTCGCGGAAGTTTGATGTTTAAGTAGTTTTAACACTTAACCATTAAAACTAACGTTTAAACTTATCTAACTAGAGATAGTTTAACATTAAATAAAACGTAACAAGTTTTCAACTATGCGGGGCTCCTCGCTCGCTCAGAGGATGTTGAAACCCCCAACTCCCTCTAGATCCGCCACTACATTTCTTCTCTATCTTGTTTTGGTGTGACATGTGGACGGAAAAGGTTTGGCATGTTGTAAAACGCGCTTTATCCTTGTCTGTTGGAGAAAAATCTCCTAATATTCTGTCTGATAATAAATTAAGATTAAGTCATATTTTTGAAAAATTTCCGTATTAAAAGTACAATGTATATTTATATTTACACGTTAATTTAAATTATATATACAACAAATCCTGTTGAAGTAGAGAAAGTAAAGTTTGTTTAGACATGTATATAACGCGGTCCTTGCTTTAGACTATGCCCAACATGTGTGCTTATTTCTCCGCACTTCAGTTACGTCGGAGTTTGTCAATCAGGATTGGATGAAACATTTAACCCATTATTCATAAAATTTTAATTTTATGATTATTATGCGTTTTTATTTTACATTTAGACACTCTTTCTTAATATTCTATTACATGAATGTTAAATATTTTTTATTCAAATTGTTCTAACTCCGCAGAAACGCACGGTGACTTAAAACTTTCATATCATATAACCGACCGCCTCCTGGCGGCCAGTAATGAGTGAAACCAATTGTCAAATAAAGTAATGTACATGTAACATCTTGATCATGAAAAATTAAATGATATTTTTTGTTAAATCAATAGTTAACACCTAAAGGGAAGAGAAGGAAGATGAATTACCAGAGAAGGAAGAAAATTTTGGTTTCAAACCAAACTGTGCAAGTTAATGATAAAGAGACTGTGGAAGAGACTGTTGAAGAGGCTGATGTGGTTAAAGAGGAGGTAACTCAGGAAACAGAGAATAGCATTGCAAATCAGGGAGTTGTAGCTGAATCTGATTATGACTCAGAGACAGAAGACGAAATGGAGGATGAACATGATAGTGAAAATGAACTGTCAGATAGCGAAAATGAAAATCTTATAAGAAGTTTTATTTACGAATATGAAATAGAAAATTATTAATAAAATACATTTTCTGTACTTATTTATTCCTATTTTTCTCTTCTAAATTTGGTAAATGACAAAAGTTTGTCTGGTCTGACAGAACCTTTAACTGTGTCAGACCAAATGTCTGGTAGTGATTGAAAAATTTCGACAAGTCTGTAAGCGAGAAATAATTTTCGCGAATAGTTGTTATTTATATAATAGTGTTGCATTATGCATGTACTATGCCTAAATAGTAGGCAGGGTTTGACACATGGTGCACGAGCCGGAGGCGAGTGCACTATGTGTCAAACCCTGCCTACTATTTAGGCATAGTACATGCATAATGCAACAATATTGTTATTATTATGCTGACTGTTGTAATTATTTATGCGGCAATCTATTTGACTTTTTCCTGAAAATATCGGTGCTTAAACAGCGCACTTGCAAGAACTCATTCAAAATATTCATGCTAAAATTGTTTGCATGCTTAGTTATTTTGGTTACTAGTATTTTCTCTAAATAAGTCGGGATTTTCTGTCCCAAAGCAACACATCTTTATTTTCTGTTATGTTAGTAAGCCTTATTTGTTTGCAGACATTGATTCTCATTGATAATTTTCTTTTACATCCTTCAATCAAGTGTCATATAAAAAAGCGTTTTAATGACCCTATAAAATCAGTTCATCTAACGATCTGTATGTAATTAGTTTGAAAGTTTGTTGTACACATTAATCTAAAGTTCCTTAGAATAATATAACTGTTTTCAAATAATATTTGTCTATTTTCTCCTTCTTGTGTCAATTGTATAAATTAAGTTTATATATTTAATAAAATTGCACCAATTAGTGATCGTCTCTATGGCGTAATCGATAAGGCATCGAGCTGACAATCTAATGGTCGTGAGTTCGATCCCCGGCATGTGCATGGAAGAATTTTATTCAGTAAATAAAGCCGTGCACTATTTCGGCATAGTATGTTTACGCTATATAAATCCTTAGACCACTATGCGAGAATAGTAGGGTATGGGTTATATAGAGACAAACTGACAGGAAGCATAATAATCCTCTATATAATCATATGGAATACTTTTATACACGAGAAATAAATTTTTGTGAATGCATTGCCTCACGTAATTACGCGAAAATAAAGTTCTCGCAAATAAAAATTGAATAACAGTACCTGAGGATGCTTTCACATGAGTTTCATCTTTCCTGGTACAATGGTTATGGAGAAGAAGACTTTTAAAAGGTTTTTCCTACCTATTCCTATATAAAACTTTGATCAGCCATTGTGGCCCTGCCCTACCCCCGAGGTTCAAGATTTGAACAAACTTCAATCTACACTACCTGAGAATGCTTCGACATGAGTTTTATCTTTCCTGGCCCAATGGTTCAGGAGAGAAAGATCTTTAAAAGATATCATTAATTTTTCATTAATTCATAATTATCTCCCCTTGGAAGAGGGTTTGGCAATTCATTTGAAAAAACTTGAATCCCCTTCTTGAGAAGAAGATTTTTAAAGAATTTTCCTATATATTTTTATGTAAAACTTTGGTCGGCCATTTCGGCCCAGCCCTACCCCCGGGGTCATGATTTGAACAAACTTAAAACTACACTACCTGAGGATGCTTCTCTATAAGTTTCATCTTTCCTGGCACAGTGGTTCTTGAGTAGAAGATTTTTAAAACATCCCACCAAATTTTTCTTAATTCCAAATTATCTCCCCTTGAATGAGGGCGTGGCCCTTCATTTGAACAAACTTGAATCCCCTTCATCCAAGGATGCTTTGTGGCAAGTTTGGTTAAAATTGGCCTAGTGGTTCTTGAGAAGAAGTCAAAAATGCGAAAAGTTTACAGATGGACAGATGGACTACAGACAAAATGTGATCAGAAAAGCTCACTTGAGCTTTCAGCTCTGGAGAGCTAAAAACTATAATACAGAAAATTCAACGCAAAAATGTTCGAAAGCAAACCCATTCCGTAGTAAGGTCAACATTTTTTAATTTACTGTTTTACGGGACCCCAAACCCTAATTTGAGCCAAAATCAAATAAAAATAAAAGTGCTTACTTCATTGTTTATTTTTATTCTTCCCGCTGACTCGTCACTGATGGGCATTCAAAAAATAAAATTAACCTATTTTATTCCACTCGGTACACCTCGGATGATTTTTACCTTATCTGTGAAGGAGACAGATTGCAGATTTTGCCAAATGTAAAGCTCTTTTTCATTGGCTGATACCAATTTAATTGTCTAATCAAAGAAGTCGAAACAATGTCAACACCGCAACAATCAGAAAGTTGTGAATATTTTAAAATAGTCACTATAAACGGTGAAACATCAAAGTCGTCGATAAGAAAGATCAGGTTGAGTTTAACCATTAATGATGTAGTTAATGAAATACTAGATGACATCGTGGTTTTGCAAAACTGTTACGCAGAGGGCCATGTGGCGATTGACAGCTCTATTAATTTCCACATCTTGAAAGATTTTGGGTATGTTTGATTGTTAGAATTATCTTTCTTAATAATGATTTAAAGTTGAATCCGAACAATTTATTAATAAAGATATACGAATGAACTGTTTGGAGTAGCGTGGCAGAGAACATTCCACTGTCTTTCCTCAATTGACGATTGAAAATTAAATTATTTAGACTATTTTCTGGGAGTCAAAATTATTGTAAATAAATATTTTTTGAAAATAATGTGTAAATATTAAAACAGTTGTAGAACAGTGACTCTGCATGTTAAGCCCATCCCAACACATGAAGCGGAAAAGGAATTCAGGATGGGGTCATCCTCCATTTTTGATGTTTTGATGAAGGCCTCCAGAACCTACGAATACTTTCCACAATTGAGGTTTGTTATT